CTGCTGAGCCGGATTTGTGTGCCTGGAGGAGTTTGGGCGGGTTATGGACAGCTTCAAGACAATGGAAGAAAACGCCAACTGCGGTGTCGTGCCATGCGCTGCGACCAATGCGCCATGCGCTATGACCAATGCGCCATGCGCTACGACCAATGCCCCAGCCTGCACACAGGCGCGTGGCTTTCAGGATTCTGGAGGGTTGTTTCGGTGGGTTTCGGTCTCCTCTCTCCTTTGAAATAGCACTGTGGACATTTTGATTTCCGGTTGGCAGCCCTTTTGCGTGCTTCTTGAGCTGTGCAAGCTGTGAGGCCGTCATCGCCGTGCCTCTGATGGTGCCAATGATGATGAACGCATCTCCTACGCTTCCTCATTGCCAGCTGAGACCGATGCAGCCCATGCAGTATCAGCAGATGCCAATGCAGGTGCCTATGCAGCAGCTGCCAGTGCAGCAGATGCCAATGCAGGTGCCAATTCAGCAGATGCTGATGCAGCAGCCCAGACAGGAAGTGTTTGTCCCAGAAGAAGCTTGGCCGATCTTGGTCGTTTGCTGCCCAGGTTTCATGGGCGCCGGCCATGATTGCATTTGCACCTGCTTGCACCTGAGTGCTCAGGAAGCCAAGCTGGTGCGGCGTGCCGCGGAACAGCTTGCGACCAAGGAAGCCCAGCCCATGGACCTGACGTCCGAGACAACCATGGATAACCTTGCCAGCTGGCTGCAGTTGGCTGCAAGTTATTTTTTGCATCGGTTGGTGAAGACACGATCTGTTTGAGATTGTTTTTGGTCCGCAGTGTGAAGTGTTGATTGGAGCGCTCTCTCTTTCTTGGACGATTGAGCTCTGAGTTCTGCTGGCTGGCGCTTGCGCTGGTTTGTTCATGCGATTCGTTTGTAGAGCTCCCTCTTCTCACGACTGGCACTATGCATCGTATGTCAGGATGATGATCTTGACAGCGGCAGTGAGTTCAGCGGCTGCGGCTGGGCACGGGCTACTACACTTGGATCTTCCCACTTGCCGGTGGAAAGGACGTTCATTCAGTTCGACACGCGTATGCACGTCCGCCACAGGAGGTCTCGATCAGTTTAAGTGAATTGGCTGTCAGCCTTGAAGTGTCTCAACCAATTGGGCGCTTCGACTCCCTTTCCCATGCCAAAACGGCATGCTACCGGCGATTGCCAAAGATCCGTTCTACACACGGGCTTGGGTGAAAGCAATCAATTGACGCATGCGTGCACACCAGTTCCACGCCATGTTTGTTTGGGAAGTTTTGAGAGGCAGCTCGGTGATATGAGCGCTTCGTTCGTGCATTGACTGTTTGGGAGCAGGAGCCTTGGCGACCAGACGAGCTGCAATTTGGTGTGGAGGGGCTTTGAGCAATTCCATGTTTGTGTTTGTCCCATGCTGCTGTTGTCACAAATTGATGGCAACACAGGGGCCAAGTAGTTCATGCATTGAGGTAACGGTATCGGGTCGTGGGGTGCGTAGAAGATCAACGCCCCATCACTTTGCAGACTCTCCGCTTGCCGGTGTTCTTTTTTTCAAGCTTGCGCCAGCTGCATCTGCAGCCAATGTCTGCGTGCAGAAGGGGCTTCGTATATCGACCCGGGATACTCCATCATCAGCACCCATAAACAAAGGATGATTTATGCGAGCTAGCGATTTAGGAATGGGGAGGCATTGCAGCAACGGTTTTGCATGTTCCTCAACCTGCAAAGGAAGACGTAGACTACGGACAAGTCTTTCTTGGGCTGACTGAGTGGATGGAATTGCCTGTATAGAACAGCTCTGAATCCCAGGTTCCCGTCTATCCTTTGGCAAGAAAGCCAAACGCCTGCCGTCCAGTGCAAAGTATCAGCAACGCTGCAGCTCTGCAAGACCTTAATGTTTCTCTGGGTAGCTGATGCGAGCATGGCTGAGATTGGCGCCGAGTCGATTTTATTTAGCGTGTTTTGTTTTGGAACTCACGTTGTCTACTTGCACTGCCACTTGAGTTTGTGCAACTTTCCTGATTCACTGCCGCAGTAGTTGAGATGTCGGGCCAACATGGGCTAAGGCAACAACTGAAGTAGCTAGAGGGAATGTATGCTAAGCTCGGCGCCGAACTTTGCCGAGCTGGCATTGACCCTTTTTGTGTTGCCGCCACATGCTGTGCGGAGGCCGGTCGAATCTGTTTCTGGAATCCCCGCAGAGTTCGCTTGCATTGCCGATCAGACGCTGGTTTAAGGATCCGATTTGTGACCGAGTGGGTGCTTCCTGTGCAGCCGACAAAGCCATGTGCTTGCAGATTGCCGAGGTGGAGGCCCGGCACAGACTCAATTTGGCACGTTAGCATTTGTCCCGTGTGCAGGTATGCCAGATCCTCCGGATGCGGAGACCGAAGAAGAGCTCCGTGAACCAGGCCGTTGTGGATGCCATCTTGAACCAGGCTGCCCAGGCGCGAGTCCGAGTCACACGGGTTGCACGGCTTACACGTGTCACACGCGTCTCGGGGCCCTTATTGGGATGCGATCGTCAAGCACTACGCACACAAACGCGCACACACACACACACACCCACACACACTTACACACACCCACACACACACACACACACACTTGCGCCGACTTGTGCCGACTTGTGAGCCTAGCGCAGACTCATAGGTTCATGTTTGCGACTACGTAGGTCAAGACTGGTGTCCTTCGGTGCTTGATGTGCTTGCAACTAGTTGGAGAGAAGGCTGGGCATGGTTGGCCAGCAGGGACGATTTCCATCAAAGCTTGTTCAAAGTGAGGCCCTGATGATCTTGGATGGGCCCAGACATCACCCCCCCTCCCCGCCCCCCCTCCCCCGCATGGGCACGTCTTGCACGGAGGCGAGCGCCGAGGCACCCAACCGAGCGTTGAAGCGCCGGGTGCGGCAGCGACTGCACAAGAAGTTGGGTGCCATGCTCACCTGCGAGGAGCGACTGCGTCTGTGTGTGTGCGTGTGTGCGTGCGCCTGAGACCGAGAGAGGGAGAAGCTTCTTTCCCAAAAGGGCTGCGCGATTTGGAGGAGTTTGGGCGGGCAATGGATCGCTTCGGTGCCATGGAAGAGAAGGCCAACAGCGGTGCCACTCCATGCCTTGCATCCAACGTTGCTTCCTACGATCAATCCAACGTTGCAACCAGCGCACAGGCACGCGGCATTCGGCTGTGTCATATTGGAGCATTGTTTTGCAGACATGTTCCGCACTCGTGCTACTGGTTTTGGATTTCCGGTGTGAGGCAGTCAGAGTCATCGCCATGCCTTACCTGGTGCCGATCATGGCAATCAATGTCCCTCGGCCCGTGCCCTGCCAAATGCCGCAGATACTACAGCTGCCGCAGCAGTCGCCGCAGCAGATGCCGAAGATCCAGGCCGAAGTCCAGGAAGCACAACCCCTCGACCTGGCATCCCAGAGTACTACGGACAACCTTGTCAGCTGGCTGCAGAATTGCATCACAGCATCAATTGTTCGCCAGGACCCTGAGGTTTGACCCTAAAGCAGGTCATCAAACCCTAAAAGTGTTGGTAAACCCTAAAAGGTGTTTGGAGGACAACATGAGCCCTAAAACTTGTTAGCAGGAAGGGTGTTTGGAGGCCAACACAAACCCTAAACAGTGTTGATGGGGCCAGCATAAACCCTGGTGGGCCCAGCATAAACCCTAAAAGGTGTCAGGAGGCCAACATGAGCCCTAAATAAGACAAAAAAAACCCAAAAGGTGTCTGGGGGCCAACATAAGCCCTGAGCACAACATAAACCCTAAAACAGTGTTGGTGGGGCCAGCGTAAACCCTAAAACAGTGTTGGTGGGCCCAACAAAAACCCTAAACGGTGCTGGTGGGGCCAACAAAAGCCCTAAAAGGTGTTGGTGGGGCCCACAGAAGCCCTAAAACGGTGTCGGTGGCGGCAACATAAATCCTCTGAACAAGTGTGGGTAGGACCACCATAAACCCTAAAAGGTGTTGGTGGGGCCAACATGAACCCCAAACAGTGGTGGGTGTGGGCGAACCTCGGGGTTGTTTTGAGGTTGAATTCAGGAAAGTCACAGGGCCGCGTGGTGGACCCCGGCATACCAGTAACATAATTTTCTGCCAAAGACTCATTTGAGTGCTCATGTGACTTCGATCGGGTTGGGCTGTTCGTCACAGGGCACTTCCCCTTTCAGGCCCTTTTGAACGTGTTCTTTGATTCTGCAAAATATGCCAGCCTTACTGGCAGTGTGCGCAAGTTTTTTCTCCAGGGCTAGCAGCATAGGAAGACGATAGTCTCAGCGAACTCAGCAGCTTGGCGCGGGCTGTTACTCTTGGATCTTCCCACTTGCCGGTGGAAAGGACGTTCATTCAGTTCGACACACGCATGCATGTCCGCAGGAGGTCTCGATCGGTCTAATTGAATTCGCTGTCAGCCTTGAAGCGTGCCAACCGTTTGGGTGCTCCAATGGCTTGAGACAGAGCTTGCTTTTGTGTTCACTCTCGCCACGATGGCGTGTTGATTGCCAAAGGTCCATTTCAAGCCCTGGCTTTAGAGTGAACATATGGATGGCATGGACACCAGTTCCCATGCCAATTGCTAGAGGACCTGCTGGAGGTAGTCAGTGTTGTGTGGGGGCTCTCTGGCTTTCATAAATCAGCCTGTATCTCGGGAATGGTGGCCGACGTAATCGGCTGCCTGACCTGTAAACTGACAAACTCCTTGGGCCATTGTCAACCTCGCAGCTCGTCAAACCTTCTTGCATTTAATTATATCTCATGTTTGACCCTTCCATGCGCCAACGTTGGCATCACGAAGGGTAATTGTTTGCCAGCATCTTACAGCAGACATTCCCCCACGACTAAGGGGGCATGCTGGCTGTACAGAGCTGTATATAGATCAGTGACAAGCACAGAAAAGCAGGGCCATGCTGCATATGTCTGCAGCGTCGACCTTCATGCTGGTTGTGTCACGATAAGCTGCTCCCATGTTGCTGCTTAGTTTTTTGCTATCGTTATTCCCAAGCATGCGTGGCAGGGCCCGGAGTACGACGTGCTGCGAGCGCGAGGCTTCAAGATCTACGAGAAGACGGCGGGCATGTTCCTCGTGTACAAGGCAAGGCCCTTTGGTATCGTTTCCATGCAGGGCATATCGTCGATATCGTTCTCCGCTCTGAGATGGGCCCGTGACAAGGCCTCACAGTTCTATTCCAGGTCAGTTTTGGGGATGTGAATATCCCAATGTGCAAAAGCTTCTGGAGTTTCCCCGGGCTTGAAAACACCCTCGCAGGTCACTGAGGAAGATATGGACTTTGTGCCCAAGGGCAAGTTTCAGGCGCGCAACTTCAGCCCTTGGGCGGTTGGGCCAGTCCCGAGGGATGTGCAAGATGCGGTTAGTGGACACATCTGCAAAGCGCTTCCTTCCTCATCAAACTGTGGGGGTATTGCTCAGAACTCTGCCACCACACACAGACATGTCATCATTTGGAGTCTGATAATACCCAAAGAAAACCTGCACGTCACCAGGTGCCTTTCAGCATCGTGCCGCAGCCGCTGAGGCATCTTGCTTTGCAGAAGGTGAATACATTTTCGCTCGGTTGCAGGCATCCGGAGGTTTTCCTGTGAAGGGATCCCAGACCCGCCTGCTTGGAGTTTGTTTTTGGATGCACGCAAACAAGTCGGATTTGTCAGCTGCGGTGTGCCTCCAGATCTCGAAAAAGTCTAAGTATATAGGCATCGCATGGTCAGGCCTGGAGATTACCTGGTGACACGATTGCCAGAGAAGAAGGCGCCACGAATTGAGGGTTAGGAGAGCAATGAGCCTCCTTTGAGCCTCTGGTTGGAGCAGCAATGCCACCCTTGCATTTGAATCAATGCATGTTTGTGTGTGCGCGCTTCTGTCAGTCCACCATTATTGGTGCTTTTAACGGTGCTATGGTTATCGGTTATGAGTTATGAGGTATGAGTTATCTGGGTGTGATGTGTTACCTGCAAACTTTCATGACGCTGCAATTTGTACTCTGAGCAAACCGAGTACTCGTAAAACACTTGTCTCTCAGGCGAGGATCAGCCCTGCTCCTTCTTCTTCAGACCTGCCTTTGAACAGCTTTGTCATGTTTGAAATGACTAATACTAAACTTGTGCAATCGACGCTTACACTTTTGAGTTCCCAAATTGTGCACTTGAGTTGACACGCTCTGGCATGAAGGGCAAGAAACACAGTTGCTGAATCACACGCGCTACAGGGTGCGCCCAGACCTAGAGTGTACCACATCAATCTGAACCACGGGGGCGGTCAGGGACAGTCAACAGCGCACGAGAAATGGTAGTGTAGAAGTTGGATAGGAACTGAACAGTTGTGCGTGCGTGCGTGCGTGCGTGCGTGCGTGCGTGCGTGCGTGTGTGCGTGTGTGTGTGTGTGTGTGTGTACGGGCTCGTTTGCACTGAGCTGGTTGTTGCCTCTCCAGAGAGTGTTTCATTGTGACTTGCATGGTCAGGTGGTGTACTTGAGCCGCAACGTGGACCAAGTCTTCCTGTCTCGCCACTTGCCAGAGCTTTCGTTCGGGTTGTTTGACTCGACCACTCGCAAGCAGCTTTCATGGGGCAGTTCTTGCGTGAGCATCCTGAGCCTGACTCCTTGCGAGGTGAGAACCTGGAGGTTCAATTTGCCTTTGCGAGCCCTTTGACCTACAGCCCGCTTTGCATCGAAGGGGAGCTGGAAGGCCAGGCGGTGTGACAGTCAAGCTCGTTTCCATGCGCCAGTTTGGTCCAGCGTGGCGGAATTGGTTGTTGCTGGTTGGTGCCCACACCTCCTTTAGCACTGGAGAGTTTGCCTCGGGTTCTCTCAGCATGTGTGTTAGGGGAGAGCATGCAGAGACGCAGCTGTGGGTAGCCGGTGAGCGTGAAATGTTTGAGTGAGCCATCCAGGCTAAATGCCTGAGTTGTAGTGGTTTGGGCTGCTCTTTGTGGCACAGGACTCCGTACCGCGGGTGTGGTTGTGCGCCTCACCTGTGCCACCCGCGAGAACTTGGTTCGCCACTGTGCCGCATGCCCTTCACTCAAAAGGCAAATGGGAACAATTAATATGGCCATGCCAATGCGTCCATGTCACTCACTTTTGCCTAGTAGGATTGTTGTTGGACATGGGCAACCGACTGCAGGTTGTTTGATATTCAGGTTTGGCAAGGCTTATTGCGTGTGTTTAAGCAGCTCTGCATTGAAGAGTGATGAGGTAAAAGTGAGCTTGCATATTATTCGTCTAACACGTTGTAGCGTGTGGCTTTGCTATTTCTGCAGTGCTCATGACTCATTACCAACGATCCCACGGTAGTTGCTCCGTCATACCGCGATACATCTTTAGCTACATTGCCTATTATTCTTCGATATGGTTCAGAGTGTTGAATTCACACGATTGGCCTATGTGGGTCACATATACTGCAATGTCGTTCACCCTAAACGTATCATCCAACAGGAAGGCTGAAGTCATGAGAAGACATGATGCGCATATGACTTATGTGACTTATATGACTTATATGACTTATATGACTTATATGACTTATATGACTTATATGACTTATATGACTTATATGACTTATATGACTTATATGACTTATATGATATGACTTATATGACTTATATGACTCCTTGACTTGAGCGAGCAGCTCATTTCCGAGTGAAGCCTTGGTATATCCGAGGCCTCAAGGGTGCCTGGGCCTCATCGCCCACGGTGCTGCACATCTCTTGCCACACGGCGCTGCGGCGCAGCGAGCACAGTGTGGAGGCCATCCTGTGGCAGGGCGCGGCTCAACCTATACGAGATCCATTTCTTTCGTGTTGGTGGTCTTGGTAGTATGAGCCACGACAGGCTGAATCTTGAGTTTCCGCAGACTTCGGCACAGCTCATGGACTGTGCGCCCGAGAGGGCAGCAATGGTTGTTGCTGGCATCCCATGTGCAGAGGTACTTACAGTCTCCTAAGAATGTCCGGGGTTGGCATTCTATGGGCGCCCACTAAACTTTATGATTTTTGTTTTTGTTTTTTTTGGTTGTGGCAAGTCACGTTGAACGTGCGCGTTGCCTTGCAGATAAACGATGCGATTGCAGCGTCAGGGTGAACAGCCTGGTTGCAGGTGGCTTCCATCCTGGAAGATTGTCGGGGTGCTGCCCACCCGGTGACACCGGAGGCAAGCGGCGCAAGAGCGGAATGTAGTGGCAGTCATTGTCGAAAATGTCCAGCCAGGTGCCTCAAACGGCCAAGACAAGACGTTGCCGCAAAGGTAGCATGCCGGCTGTACAGCAATGTAAGGAGCTAGAGAGAGAGAGAGAGATGTCAAATATCATGCTGCACTACTTGTCACTTGTGCATGCATGATGTACACTACCTGACTGCAGGCCTTGAGTCTACCAGCAAAGAGTGCATGCTGGCTAACTACATTTGTGTTTGTGACAACAGAAACAACACTTGCACTTGCAGTAAAGTACCAACGTATTTTAACGTGGTAGCGGAGCTGAGATCCTAAACATAGGGGAGCTCCAGTAACAGCAGTAGGTACTACAACCGCACAGGCAACCACATGCCCAACTACTACGACACGTCAGGAGAACCAGCAGCAGCATCAGCGCAACCAACTACAGGAGCAGACAACGGGCCCACAGCAGAGGAGACAATAGGAGCCACAACTACGGGAACAACGCAGGAGCAGGAAGACGTCCAAAGGCTACACAAATACAAACTGCCACCACCGTTCTTCACTGGTGACTACTCACAGTACGAAGAGTGGCTGTTCAAACTACAAGCATACCTTGGACTCATCGACCGAGACTTCGACATGGTGCTACAACTAGCACAAGCAGCTACAAGACAAATTGAAGATGCAGACATCAGAGCCCACATACGCGACCCTACACAGGCAGCAAAAGCAGTAGACCTCTCACGAGATCTACACTACATCCTCATCAACATCTGCCAAGGTGCAGCAGCTACAGTGGTCAGACAAAACCGCTACAATGCCAATGGATGTGAAACACTACGGCTTTTGCACAACAGGTTCAGCCTACCAGTAGGAACACGCAGTGTTGGCTACCTCACCAAACTACTGGAACCTACATTCAATGAAGCACAATTTGAAGAACAATTCCTACAGTGGGAGTATGACATCAACCGCTACGAGAAAGACAACGGCACAGCACTACCAGATGGAGTGAAGATTGCAATACTACTCAACAAGACTAAAGGAGCACTTCAACAACATCTCCAACTACGCGCTGGACAGATCACGAACTACAACGAGATCAGAGTTGTGATCCTGGACTACTACAAAACCATATCTGCATTCTCAAGAGCGAGCTCAGCAGTTGGCACAAACTACAATGGTGGAACAGCACCAATGGACGTGGACAACATTTGGAGAAAAGGAAGAAACTACAAAGGCAAAGGCAAATATGGAGGCAAAGGACACTACAAAGGAAACAAAGGAAAAGGCAAGTACAGAAGCAAAGGCCACTACAAAGGATTCGACAAAGGCAGCAAAGGAAACTACAACAAAGGAGGATACAACAAGAGCAAAGGAAAAGGCTACTCAGGATCCAAAGGATATGGATCAAGCAAAGGCCACAAAGGCCAAGGAAACTACAGCAAATCAAAAGGGAAAGGAAACAACAGCTACACAACATGCCATCGATGTGGCAAGCCCGGCCACTGGGCACAAGACTGCAGAGTGCCAGTATGGCACATAGGAGAAGGAGAAGAACTACATCCAATAGAAAATGAACAAGCAGATCATGACAACAATGAAGAACTACCTCAGGATGTGAACGACACCTGGGACTGGTACTACGAAGGAGAAGAAGGACAACGCGAGGTGAACTACATGGAGAACTGGAACGACTACGACTATGACAACAGCTGGGATTGGAATGACAACAGCTATGAGGACACAGCAAACTACATTGGAGGCATCAACGAGTCACACCTCACCATTGGACACATCAGACAAGCAAATTCGCGACTACACAAGCATAAATCCAAATCACTACTTGGCAAGAGAACAACACACACAACATCATGGAACGACCGCAGCAAGAGCTTTCAACAATTCCTACAAGAAGACAACCCACAGCTACACTTTGACATAGCAGCAGCAAGACAACCACAAAGGAACAAGAAGATTGAGGACACTATCACACACTACATCATGTACTCCAACTTCAAGTCATACCACCACCTGTTGATCGACTCAGGAGCATCTACACATGTTTGCCCGAAGGACTACGCACCAGACCTACCGCTACGACCTTGTGGAGAATCGGTTCCACAACTCTACACGGTTACAAACAAGAAGATTCCTGTCTACGGCATCAAGTACGTTCCCTACAAGCAGGGCAACTTCAGGATCATGATACCCTACTACGTCTGTGATGTGAAGTATCCAATCCTCAGTGCATCAAGACTGCTTGATAGAGGATATGGACTTGACTTCACTCCACGACACTGCACCATCACACATGGACAACAACAAGCGCACCTCATAAGACACTCAGGACTTCTACCTACGAGCAGAGAAGATCGACATCCCTACTGGATTCGACATCTACCCAATGACTACATACAATGGAAAATCCATTGCTGTGATTCAACCTACAGAGAAAGCAGTACAACAACAAGAACAAATCGCACCACTCACCCACACAGGCCAAGGACTACGACAGATCCTTGGTGGAAACAGTGACTACTGGAAACTTGATGGTGACTACGCCATCAGAGTACACAAACGACCACGCAAAGCACTATTCGCACCACACAACAGCGGCTGCCCAATACCTGAAGGAGAACTAGATGATTGGCGACTAACCATCATCAACAGACAAGGGCAAGAGCAAGAACAACTACAAGAGAACCCAACACAACTTTCCAAGCAAGAACTACAACGAAGACTAGAAGGTGACAACTGGACTGGAGAAACCAGATTCAGAAGAAAGATAACACCTACACGCAGAGCAACACCAAAGACAACACCAACAAGGCAGAGCTCACAACCACAACGGCTAATGGACGCACCACCAACCAGATCAAAGATCCAACTACGAGCACCACAAAAGATATGGAGACCTAAAGCAGCACCTTCTACCAATCTTGACACCGCACAACCAAAGGAGACAATCCACAGACCACTCACAGCACAGGAGGACAACCAAGACTACTGGGAAAGACAAGGTGAACGCTGGATAAGACACCACACAACACTTAGAACAACCCTATTCACTCCAACAGATGGACCAGGACATCCACCAATCAACACACTTGAACCTCACAGAACTACAATCACTCACAACAACTTTGGAGAAGTTTCACAACGCAAATATGACTGGACAATCATGGGCAACGTAGCACTACCATTTCAATGGAGAGGAACAACAAGGTTCACCGTGAAGAAAGACTACGAGTACATCCAAGAGAGCCACGATGAGGAACAAAAACACGAGCATCATGAAGCACACAGAGCAATAGGACTACGACAACCTCAGCAGCCCACTCCACAACAAATAGCAGAACACAACTTGACACACCTACCATACAGAAATTGGTGTCCAATTTGCGTTCAAGGCAAAGGACGCCAGGACAACTACAAGAAACAACAATCACGACAACCCATCATCCAAGTGGATTTTGCCTACATCAAATCACAACAAGATCCGAAGACCATACCAGTCTTAACGGCAGTTACTCAGTTGATGTTACTACACAACTGTGCATGGCGGTATTGGTTCCGGACAAACCATCGATGATGAACTACATGATCAACAACCTACAAGCATTCATCTTTGAATGCGGAAGAACACACGGCATACTACAAAGCGACAACGAAGACACACTCAATGCACTACTACAAGCAACAGCATCTAAAGTCGGCTCAATGACTGTACGACATTCACCGTCCTACAGCAGCAACAGTCAAGGAAGCGTTGAGCGACTACATAGAACACTCCTCGGACAAATCCGCGTCGTCAAAGCTCAGGTTGAAAGCAACTACAGCATGACGATGTCCACAAAGCACTGTCTACTACCTTGGATAGTACGACATGCAGCATGGACGGTAAATCGCTACGTCATCCACTCAGACGGCTACACAAGCTTTGAACGCCGCTGGGGAAGAAACTACGAGCGAGCAATCTGCGAATTTGGCGAGACACTACTCTACCTTCCACCGCAACACAAGAAACTTCCCAAAGCAGACCTACGGATGCAGAAATGCATCTGGCTCGGAAAAGTTTCCGAAACCGGAGAAAACTACGTCGCAACGGAATCAGGCGTACAAAAGGTACGAACAGTGCGGAGACTACAACCGGACTTCAAATACGACCTCGCACTATTGAACAAAGTTTCCGGCACACCGTGGGCACCACGACGGAACACCTACAACCCATCGTTCGCAACACTGTTGGATGCGCAACTACCACCGTCAGATAAAAGAAGGTCCACGCAAGATTTCGGACAACAAACGAACGCTACGGACGACATCGTTGCGGAACCCGCAACAAAACAACAACGCACACACCACCTCCACGACTTCCGTCAACATCGACGTCAAGTTCACGACCACTACCGGATAGTCCGATGGCTACTTCACCAACCGGACGACAACATCCACCACTACCAGCACCACCTCGACAAACACTACGACGTTTAACTCCGGAAGAAGTAATGCAACCCACTAAAGCACAGAAGACCTCAAAGGACACTACAATCAGATCAACGGAGCAAGCAACCAAAGAACCACCACCACTACGACAGAAAATTAACGCAGTGACACTTCCCAACGGCAAATTCATCACACCCTACACAAACGACGACACCTCAGAAGACCAACCCATAATCTTCGACAACGAAGGTTACGACGAAACACAACTACTGGAAGGAATGAAACACGAGTCAAATCAAATGAAGCTACATGACGTCTACGACGAAGTAGATGCGTCTACCGTCGACGACAACGTCATAAGAGAAGCGATACCTACTAGATGGGTACACAGGAAGAAAGGACCAGGAGTGCGAAGTCGAATCGTCGCAAAAGGCTACACCGAGAAAATCGAGGACGAAGACTCCGTCTACGCCTCTACACCAATGTTCACGACACTCCGGACACTTCTCGCACTACAAATGTCACGACCGAACTGGATCGCGCGACTAGGCGACGTCTCTACAGCATTTCTACACGCACCCATCGCAAAAGACCACGACGGCAAACAACGTGACGTCTACCTTTGGCCACCTAAAGAACTTTGTCCACAACAGGACAAAATCTGGCGACTAAAGAAAGCCATGTATGGACTACGCAGTTCACCAAAAGCATGGCAGGACTACCTGGCTGAAGTGCTACAAAAACTCAGCTTTGTAAGGCTAAAGTCAGAACCTAACGTCTACACCAACGCGACTCGCGACTGCTACATCATGGTCTACGTGGATGATCTCTTGGTACTTGGTGACAAGACTACTGTCGACTCCACCTTCGAGGCCATCCAGAAGCAGGTCCTACTCAAGCACATCGGCTACCTCGAACCTGGCAAACCACAACAATTTCTTGGAAGAAACATCGACCACTTTGGCAACTACTGCAACCTGGGACTAAAGGACTCCTACATCGACAACATGATCGAGGAGTCTGGAATGAACAACTGCAACTCAGTGAACACTCCAGGAATTGCACACTACAAACCAACAATAGAAGATGAAGCACTACTTGACCACGAACAACACAAAAGGTACAGAAGGATTGTTGGCAAACTTCAATGGTTAGCATACACACGACCAGACATTGCATACTCCACAAAAGAACTAGCACGAGACCTCACAGCACCTACAGAACTTTCACAAAAGAGAGTCAAACATCTACTACGCTACTTGCACGGCACCAAGCACTACAAATTCACCATAGAACCAACAACAACACTCAGAGCAAACACCAACAACATCCTGGATCTCGACGTTCATGTCGATGCCGACTGGGCAGGATGCCCTACTACCAGGAAATCAACTTCAGGTTTCAACATCATCTTTTTAGGAACAACAGTTGCATTTGGCAGCAGAACACAAGCTACAATAGCACTCAGCTCAGCAGAGTCTGAACTCTACGCCATTTGCACAGGAGTTAATGAGGGACTACACCTCAGAAACTTCCTACTTGAAACCAACATTTGCAGCAAGCTAAATCTACGCATCCACACAGACTCCACAGCAGGCAAGAGCATTGCTACACGACAAGGCACTAGCAAACGAGCAAAACACATCGACCTTAAATTTCTCTACACACAAGACCTCATCAAGCACGACATCATCAGAATCCTCAAAATCAACACACGACACAACAGCTCAGACTTGTTCACAAAATACATTAGCAAAGAAACACTACAGAGGCTCATACAGAGCATTGGCATACGTGTTTAGCACTACGAACAACAACTGTTTCACAACTGTTGCACATCAACCACAACAGTTTGTATATGGCCATATGTAACTACCTGCATGTAAGTAACAGTAACAGTAACAGTGACTACAAGTAATAGTAATTGTAACCACCAGTAATTTGCACTTGCACTTTTGGCGGCTTTTGGCGGCTTGAGTCAACACTACATGTTGTTTTGTGTTTTACTACATGCCCGCATGTGCTTTTGTGAGCTAACATTGGCTCACTACTGTCTGCCCCGTTTCACTGCATCTCGATAGGCCGAACTACCATGGAACTACGCCCATGGATGCGACTACGCTGGATGTCATGCCGATGGAGGTTACTACATCAGCGCCAGAGACTACTCTGCCCGTCGAACAACAGGCTGGCAGTACTACACCGGACCGTGTTTTCACACCACCGGATCGGCAGGGCACTACCGACTCCAGCAGCATGGCTACTTTGGCCACACCACCACCTGAGGCCTACAACTCCCTCAACTACAACTTCAATCACCAACTACCCACACCGGCACCTTTCTACAGACCCGACGACATCTTGGCACACCTCACTACAATTGAGAACAACATCCCTGACACTCCAGCGATCGACCCGGAGCAGAACTACTTCAGGGTCTACATGGCTTTGACGCTCGAGGAGTTCCAACTACTAAGTCAACAACAAACTACACCCATCCCCGAGCTCAACTACAACCTACCAGTTCACGACCTACCTTCAGACCTACGGATGCCACACTACGACTCACTACCTCTTCACCTACGTCTTTCAGAGGCAGTCAACTTCTACTACTACAACCTAACATCACTACACCTCACAACTCAGTACACCAATTCGATGGTCATCATCCAACTACACATTCCACCAGAAGTTCTACTACGATTTGTCAGTGCTGGACAACTCATCAACTTCTGCCGCGACTACGTGAGCCACATGATCTCAATCAAAGACGAGCACCACCTACCTACACGCCAGCTACATCAACGAGTACACCGAATCACCTACAACTTGGACCAGATCACCACTACATTCAACCTGTCCAACAACTTCATTTGGAACTACCACATGCCCCTGTACCTACCAGAACTACTCAACTACTTCGACCAACCACAACAACTTCATTGTGACAACAGAAACAACACTTGCACTTGCAGTAAAGTACCAACGTATTTTAACGAGAGAGAGAGACAGAGAGAGAGAGGGCGGCGTTGCTGCATTGCTCCTATCGCTTCCTTCGCTTCTCCACGGGTCTGGCGCCATGCGGCGCCAGGCTTTCGCAGACCTGGTGATTGGCGGGGGCTCGGCGCCTCAGCTGCTGGTGGCGCTGAGCTGCCACTCTGAGGCCGAGGGGCCGAGGGGCCGAGGGGCCGAGGGGCCGAGGGGTCGGGCGAGCCAAAGGAAGAAGCAACCCGAGCATTTCATGTTCGAGTTTTTTAAACGGCATTCCTCGCCAAGTGGGAAGTAACAGCCGACCGTTGCAGCCTGTCACAGCTCAACAAGCTCGGCGGATCTCGCACTGGCGAATCAAGTTGTTTGCATAAGTCATTTTAAGCTCTGAGCCGCCATCAAGTGGGATGTCTTGAAATGCAGGCCGCACTTTCAGAGCCTAGGCCATCCGAGTACCGCCAAGCTGCTTTGCACCAGAGTGCTTTGATGGTGCAGAATGTTGGATCTAGAAAATCGACAAGCTGCAATGCAGCAGCTGCAACAGGAAGCTTTCGAGATGTTCAGCATGAAAACATTCGGACCACTGAAGGGAGACAAACTGACTGCAAATATTCGTGGGCGTGACTAGTGTCACTGGGGTTGGGCAAGCTTCTCCATGAAGGGTGGCAGTGTTGGTCCTGTTTGCCAGGCGCTGGCACTGACGTGTTTGGCTCCTCAGCGCGAGTTGGTGCTTCTTTTGCTAGCCGATGTCAAATGGATTTCAATAGGAGGCCCTGCTTCCCAATCTCCAGTTGAGGCCCTCCAATCTCCACCTGAGTAGATGCAGGTTAGTTCGGGACAGCACCAACCGGAAATAGGTGAGGCCACGGCTTTGGGCAGGCCACTGAGATATACCAGGAATTGATTATGACAGACTGTCCCCGAGGATCGTGGGGTACGACGTGCTGTGGCGGTGCGCGCGCAGAGCTCCTTGTTGGACTCCGCGGCTCGGGACTTCACCTTGACCTTCTACGCAGAGCGCCTCGCAGTTGGTTGATGGTGAATTTTGTGCCTTCAACATTTGGTAAATCCGACATTTGGTAAAATCCAGCATTGCCCAACATGCCTTCATGTTTATCTTCGATGGGAAGGCAAGCATGGCTGGTGATGTTGGTAGACATACACCTCAAGGGTCCGACATGTGGTCGTCCTCGAAGTATGTTCAATTCAGTCCATGGCCAAAATGCTTGTGTACATACGAGTCTACCAAAGCAGATATGAATGATACCAGGTTGTAATGCATGCACACATACTACAGTTACTACAGTTACTACAGTTGCTACAGTTGCTACAGTTACTACAGTATACACATACACAATTGTTGCACGTGCTTTTACCTTAATGCATATGTACGTATGTGTACAATGTATCAGTTATGTGATGTACAGTATTCGCACAAACTTGTTTGTGTTTGACACAGCCCCAACGCATGTCAGAGCACAGCCAGAGACAACTGCTTTTCACAGATAGACTTCAACAAGGTTACACAATGTCGCCAAGAACACCTGGACGGGTTGGCCTGCCAAAGCTTCTGCTTGAAAGCACACATTCCGGTGGCTCCTACAGCATTTTCCCAGGCTCCGGACACATTGGAACGTGCAGCGCGCCTTCCTCATGGCTCTGGAGAGCATGAGAGCGTCCAGGACGGGGGCATAGATACGGGCATGGATGCGAGTTATCAAGGGCCCAAAAGCGAGGCTGAAAAACGGGATTTCCTCAAACGAGGTCTTGTTGTGGGCCTTGGCTGGAGGGAGACATCGCCTGATCCGCCGAGAGAGATACAAACTGGACACTGCCCAGGGAGCCGGGCGTTGCTGGGGAAGCGGAGAAGCTGGTGTTGCTGCCAGAGGACTGCCCGACCCTGACAGCTGACAGTCCGGCTTTGGTAAGCTATCGCAACAAATCAAGCCTAAGTCGGATGTAGATCGACCGATCTTAGCACCAAAACAACTCCAGCAGATCCTCATTGCAGAATCTTGCCATGGCGCCTTCGAGAGTCTCATGCAGTGCACGTCTTACCACTCATTTCTTGCATGTTTGGTGCGATGTGTGTTTGTTTGTTTGTTTGTTTGTTTGTTTGCTTTGGTTGGTTGGTTGGTTGGTTGGTTGGTTGGTTGGTTGGTTGGTTGGTTGGTTGGTTGGTTGGTTGGTTGGTTGGTTGGTTTGTGCACACGACACCTTCAGACCCTGTTGGCATTGCTTGGGCTGAATTGGCCAAGGCCATTTCTGTAGACTTCCCATGGCTTGCTTACCTTGGGATTGTCATCATCCAACTTGGATCTGTGCGTGTGCATGTGTGTGTGTTTGTCCAGGGTGCCCCCGAGTTCGAGCTGGGCGGTCAAGCCTGTGTGCTGGGCTTGCCAGAGGCGCGGCCCTTGATGAGCTTATTGCCCTCCACGTTTGATTAATATTTGCTGTGCATGAACGGGGGCAATGCTGATGGAACCCCAGGCTATTGCGTTGTCAGGACGCCAAGGTAGAGCCTTGAGAATTGCAAGTTAAAACGCAGCCTGCGGGGAAGGGTATGAAAAGGCATGAACTGAGCTGCTTTTTGTTTGCTGCTGATGCTGCATGATCCGAGGATGTTGCGTTCTGCATGCTGCTTGCATTCACTTTTTGTGTGAATCAGCCGGTGGTTCTGCATTCTTGTCCGAGTGCGCAACTTAGCAGTCTTTGCCGTGGTCGAGGAAAAGCCCTGCCCCTGTGGCAGGACAGCCCACCGGAGATGGATAAGACCATTGCAGCTGCTCGGCCATGGTGATTGTCATGGCACTGCAAAGGCCTTCCTTAGGATGCAGTGGTGTGCGGTTTAAGGCAGATGCAACCCAGGAATACTCCGCCACCAGTCATGGCTCTATACTTCTTCGAACTGAGGTTCGAATGCCCTTCAGCGCCGGCGAGGCACGACCTCTGTTTCTGTTGACTCAAGGCCGTAGATGATTTTCTAAAAGTTTGGCCTTTGTGGGCTCCATGGTTTCAGTGTGTTTAGTAAAGATTCTTTTGCAAGCCCAGTTGAGTGTTCTGTTTTGATGCCAATGTAATGGTGCACCAGTAGCTTGACTAGCAGCTTTTTAGTCGGCCATGAAGTCAGCCCCCCCGTGCCAATGCAATTGCTGAAGCTACCCACGTGCCTTGCAGGTGGCAGTGGGGGCGCTGGAGCAGAGCCGGCTGGAACGGCTTAGCGAACTGCTACCGCACAGCCGGGGCTTGCACCTGGGCTCAGAAGGGCTTGGGGTGGGAAGCTCAAATCGAAGTGGAGCGGTGTGTAAAATCGGCTGTTGGGGCAACCATTGGGATGCGGGCACATATCTTGTTTCGCTTGTTCCGGGGAGTGGCCAATGGTTGGCGTCCTTTTGTGTTGCAGGTTGTGTTCAGCAGTTGCCATGATGTGCTAAATGAGTTCCAGAAACTAGGGGGCGCCAGGATTGAGGGGAGCTCGGCCAAAAAAAGCCTCATCATTGGAAAGGTCCACCATATTGACAGGCAACCAGATGTGGGCTTTCTTTTGGTCGAGGGAGAGCCAACGTGCAACTAGCCTGCTATTTCGCGACACACCCTCAGATTGGCACAAACATCAAGCCCTCCGCATTTCTCACAACTTGCTGCCGGGCAAATGCGTGTTGTGTTGTGTTGTGTTGTGTTGTGTTGTGTTGTGTTGTGTTGTGTTGTGTTGTGTTGTGTGTGTGTGTTGTGTGTGTGTGTGTGTGTGTGTGTGTGTGTGTGTGTGTGTGTGTGTGTGTGTGTGTGTGTGTGTGTGTGTGTGTGTGTTTGTTTGTGTGTTGCAAAACGCAACGCGGTGGATGTGTCAACATTTTGTTTTCCGAGTCCATGTATTTAATGTATTGAAGTGCAAATCTTTGGTGGTGTTTTCACGAGCCGTAAGGTTCTAGCAACCTCATCTCGAACATGCTGATGCCGTTATGCACGAGAACCGTTTATCCCAATCTTCGGGGTTTTGGAGCTCGGTGTGTCAAACTGTTGCAGGCAGTTGTTTGTACACCACGCTCCCTCAGGTGTTACAAAAAAGCGCAGCAGACGGAAATACATGCAATTGGCTCGATTGATCCTCAATGCACATCCAACAATCCAAATCATGCGCAGATTGTGGACGTAGACGTAGCGATCACAGTTTGTACCACGTGCCCTTTGCTTCGTGGAGTCCGGCATGGTACGCGCGACACTTCTGAGGTTCCCTGGTCACAGCATACGCTCAGAAGACCGAACCATGGCTACCCCAAAGTTTTCTCCCCTTCGGGAGTGAGCAACGACGTGGCGTAACTTCCTAAGCTGAGCTTGTATCATCCATTTTCCGGACTTAATTTAAGCATAGGCCATTCTATCAAACAGCGTTCAACGCATGTGCAGTGTTCCCCGCAGCTGATTTCAACTAGAAAAGACCTGGATGCTCTCGGCTCTCGGCTCTCAGCTCTGAATCGCTTGTTGCAACGACATGTTGTTGCTTATTGATCTCTTGCACAGCAGATTTGCCCGTTTTACAGTGGGTACATACCCCTCTTGGGGAGACACGGATGCACACTAGCAAGTGTTTGAGTCTACAAAAAAAATGCAGGCTTTGCTTGGGCCCATGGTCCCGATGGATAGGCCACGGGAGCATTGTTTGATGGGTTAGTCAGGCGAGAATTCGAAGAGTGACTCCAGTTATCTCCAGTTGAGAGTCAAATTTGACAGACATCAAGCTCAGGTTTATCAGCCAAGCGCTGGCTGGCTTCTCTAGCTACCGTGCCTTGAAGGTGTCAGGCGAGACACCTGCAGATTTGCAGGCAGGAGTTACTCACTAGGTTCCGGTCTCAAGAGCCTTCTCCCTATCCATGGCCTTGCCTGTTGCAGCTTGTTGCTCGCGCAGGATTTTGCTGCGGCATTGGTGCGATTTGCATGCTACCCTGGTGGAAGGCACGGTGGGAAGTTGCTGCTTGACATTTGCACTGCCTCACGACCCGTTACAAGTTTGAGTCCATCAAGTGACCGTCGCTTTCCCTCCGGAAGCTCCTAGAAGCTGACAGCATTTGACAGCAATGGTTGAGGAGAATGCATGCAGTTTCTTCCAGCAATCGACTTTCAGGCTTTTTCCTGGCGGCGCGGTTGTGGTGAAAAGTGAGGCTGGACTTGGCAGTTCATTGCTTGGCTTATGGTCCTACCACTCCGCACAAAGGGCGCGGGTTTTTATAGCTTGATTGTGTTCCTTCATTGGCTGCAGCAGTCAGCCTGCTCTGAATCGTGTAATTGCATGCCGTTGACTGATCAGCTTCGCGCGACCTCCCAGACCGACAAAGCTGGCGTTCATTCGTGTTTCTAAGCAACTACCCACCCCCACAAACATGCAGGGAAGGTGTTTGAACCTTGGACTATACAACGCTTTGAATCGGAGGATTCTACAGTTTATGGCTGCTTGTTTTTAAGCACCAAAAACCGAACGGCCCGTCCGTTTGCTTGTTTGCTTGTTTGCTTGTTTGCTTGTTTGCTTGTTTGCTTGTTTGTTTGTTTGTTTGTTTGCTTTGCTTGCTTTGTTTGCGTGTTTGCTTTGTTTGCTTTGTTTGTTTGTTTGTTTGGTTGGTTGGTTGGTTGTTTCTTTGTGTCTTTCTTTCTTTCTTTCTTTCTTCCTTCCTTCCTTTCTTCCTTTGTTTCTTTCTTTGTTTCTTTCTCTGTTTGTTTCTCTGTTTGTTTCTTCGTTTTTTTTTTTTTGTTTTTTTTTCTCTTTTTTTGCGCGCAGCCGTTCGTTTGTTTGTGTGTGTCTTTCTTTGACGCCTTTTCCTGGCACGAAGCAAAGCAGACTAGAATCAGCTAGAACAGGTGTTGGCATGTTGGCTTCAGGCTCAGTGGTTTCAATGTGGGGCTCTGCCCACGACCGGGACGTGTCGCAGGCATGCAGATTTAGCAGAAATATGCCAACACTCCAACGGCAGTGAGCCAGACGAACCTTGCTTCTACAGCATGTCACCTGGGTTTTCCATTTGAGCCGATGATCCGGTCTATTTTAAACCAACCATAAGTCTTACAGCGCTGTAAAGGAGGCTTCCGAAGCAAGCCCTTCATGAATCTTGGCCACTGCAAGGTGCAAGGCGGTGTGCTTTCGCAGCAGCAGATGTGCGACATCTTTCTGCCCATCATGAGGCTAGCTGCCTAATGGCTTGTTTCTGTTCACAGGATGATGAAGCCCACACAAGGCGCAAGGCGGGCTTGGGAGTAATGGTGTCCCTCAACATTAACCAGTCGAACCCTTTGTGCGGCAAGGGATCAATGGGATGCGTCGTGTGCCACAGCACTAGGCACATCCCCATTGCTGAATTCGGGGGCAAGGATGCTCCAGCCCTGATTTGGCTGGCACGGAGGCGAGCGACAGAACAACTGCACTTGCAACAAGCGACGTTGTCAATTGCCTCCCAATACTCAACAACATAGCCGGGGTACTTAAATCTCCTGAGCCCATTTGATGCCTGAGTTGTGATCCCCGGCTTGTGCCATCCTTATTCGGAAATACTGCCTTAGAGTGGCAGAAAGAAAAGCTCTCGGTCTTTCCGCTTTGGGCGATGTTCATGCAATTGGTCAGGGAAAGGAGAGCTGCGAGAGCCAGGAGCCACGGCACGCTGGTTCGCAAGATGGGCCGTCGTCTTGCTCGGCCAGCTCTCCGCGGTGAGGAGGTCCAATGGAGCTGGGACACGTCCTGAAGAGGAACTGAGCTCATCACAACAGGGCAACAATGTCATGAGTCATGGCAAGACATGCTTGAGATTCTTGTTCTATACCCGCCGCGCGTAGAGGTGATGTTGTATTGCTCTTCATGGCACAAGATGAGTACTGGACTCTGGAACGTTACTCTGAGCCAGGTGCAGACGATCATCAACGGAGAGTGTGTGGCCAAGACAGTGGTGACTGACGCGACTTGGATGAAGTCAACAATCTCAACTGTTTGTCGGGGTGAGAGGTAGCCTTGGCATCAGCTTTGATGGTCGGTGGTTGTGTCGGACATCTCAAGTTGTCTTGGTGTTTTGTTGTCAACAAGATATGTTTTTCGGGAATGCCACAATGTGCTGACGGGCATGACATGTTGAGAGGCAACTTGGATTGAATAGTGTAGGTTCGGAACTGAGACAAGGAGGCTCAACTATGGCTAAACTCAGACAGGTGGGATGCTAGGATGCTGCTCAACCTTTCGCAGTCGATGTTCTATTCCCGTCTCAACTTATCCGTTCCCGAATGTTTTACGCTCATGCTGCTTCTAACTGAGCTTTGAAGGAAGGAAGACGGTGATATAGATTATAATTGCTTTCACACAACAAGGCAGTGGGCAATCATGCATCGCTGCCTTCTCGTGGGATATTGTGGATGTGACATTAAATTGACACTTCTTGTGTGAGACAGGTGCTGCTTCAATGCAAACTGAGGACAGCAGCTATGTCATTCAGCAGGCCATTTAATGGGCAATGTGGGCTGCGTGTGCAATGTATCCATGGTTGCCATGTCAACTGTGTCGCAGGCTTTGCGTATGCATCTGAGCAAACGCCTTTCCTACTTTGAGTCTATGTAAAGCATTGCTGGCCTTCAAGATAGCTTGATTGTCATGAGCGCCTTGCAGGATTCTGTGGACAGAGAGCTTTATGTGCTGAGTGAGGAGAAGTTTGAGAGGCGCGGCAGGAAACGAGCAGTATCTCAGATCGCAGGAAGCCTCTGGAGGCCGCCAACATTCTTCATAGAGAAGGTGGCCAAGTCAACACGCGGTATGGAGGGCTCCCTCCTACATATTCGTACATTGGGGAGAAGGGTAAGCCAGCGTGCTTGTGTTTTAAGATGGAGACCGAATCCTCAGCAGGCTTGGGCTTGGGGCCATTCGAACGCCCTTTGCCTGTTGCTAGGTTCACAGCGACCGACCCCGGCAAATCCCCACGCACGGCTCGCCCAAGAAGCTGTTAGCTGGAAGAGTCCCCCACGCCGCCAGATGGCGGACTGATTTGATGCAGATGTTTCGCCCAAGAAGACCATCCATGATTATTGAGTTATCATGCACTGTTTGTTCATTCTTTGTGTCTTATGATTTCTCTGAAGCTCGCTTCTTTGCACAGGAACTACGAGCTGCCTGGCTTTGACATCTCCGAGAAGAGCCCAGAGAGTGACTTGATGAGGCACTTGTCGCGTGCATCTGAAAATTACCTCGAACTCCTTTTAATGTGATTTAAGCTGACTCATTGTTGAAATCAGCTGGCCAAGCTTCAAGCATGGCTCCCTGCAGCTAAAAAAGACGTGGGATTGTGAAATAACCCCGCGCCTGAATTGTGCTTGCTTCCAAAACCTTGCAAACCGACAAGAGTAAAAAAGAACGATGAAAGGGCGTTAGTCACGATTTTAACGCCTCCGGCTCAGGCCGCCGACATTACAGGCCTGCTTTCTTATTTGCGTCCCTTTGGAATTGTCCCCTTGCCCCCTTCCCCTCTGAGATTTTTGCCCCCCTTTCTTTGTTGAGATCCATTCCCCCTTTCCGCCCTAAGGCCTTGTCTTCCTCTGATTTTTCCCTTTTCCTCCCTAAGATGTTTTCCCCCCTCTCCCTGTTGAGATCCTTTCCCCCCTTTCCCCCCTAAGGCCTTTTCCCCCCTGAGATCTTCTCCCTTTTCCTCCCTTTCCCCCACTTTCCCCCCTACGGCCTTTTCCTCCCTGGGATCTTTTCCCTTTCCTCCCTGAGATCTTCCCCCCCCTCTCCATGTTGAGATCCTTTCCCCCCTTTCCCCCCTACGGCCTTTCCCCCCGCTGAGATCTTCTCCCTGTTCCTCCTTAAGATCCTTTGCCCCCTTTCCCTGTTGAGATCCTTTCCCCCCTTCCCTTTAAGGCCTTTCCAGATCTTCTCCCTTTTCCTTCCTAAGATTGTTTCCCCCCTTTCCCTGTTGAGATCCTTCCCACCCTTTCCCCCCTCAGGCCTTTCCCCCCCTGAGAGCTTCTCCCTTTTCCTTCCTTAGATCTTTCCCCCCTTTCCCTGTTGGCCTTGTTTCCCCCAGATCTTCTCCCTTTCCTCTCTAAGATCTTTTCCACCCCTTTCCCTGTTGAGATCATTTCTCCCCTTTCCCCCCTAAGGCCTTTGCCCCCAGATCTTCTCCCTTTCCTCCCTAAGATCTTTTCCGCCCCTTTCCCTGCTCAGATCCTTTCCCCCCTTTCCCCCCTAAGGCCTTTCCCCCCCTGAGATCTTCTCCCTTTTCCTCCCTAAGATCCTTTGCCACCTTTCCCTGTTGAGATCCAGTCCCCCTTTCCCCCTAAGGCCCTTTCTCCCTCTGAGTTTTTCCCTTTTCCTCCCTACGATGTTTTCCCCCTCTCCCTGTTGAGATCCTTTCCCTCCTTTCCCCCCTAAGGCCTTTTTTCCCCCCGCGATCTTCCCCCTTTTCCTTCCTAAGATCTTTTCCCCCTTTCCTTGTTGAGATCCTTTCCCGCCCTTTCCCCCCTAAGGCGTTTTCCCCCCCAAGATCTTCCCCCTTTTCCTCCCTAAGATCCTTTGCCCCCTTTCCCTGTTGAGATCCTTTTTCCCCCCCTGAGATCTTCTCCCTTGTCCTCCCCAAGATCTTTTCCCTTGGTTGAGATCCTTTCCCCCTTTCCCCCCAAGATCTTCTCCCTTTTCCTCCCTAGGATCTTCTCCCACCTTTCCCTGTTGAGCTCCTTTCCCCCTTTTCCCCCTAAGGCCTTTTCAGATCTTCTCCCTTTTCCTCCCGAAGATCCTTTGCCCCCTTTCCCTGTTGAGATCCTTTCCCCCTTTCCCCCCTAAGGCCTTTTCCCTGCCTGGGATCTTTTCCCTTTCCTCACTGAGATGTTTCCCGCCCTTTCCCTGTTGAGATCCTTCCCCTCCTTTCCTTCCTAAGGCATTTCCCCGCGCTGAGATCTTCTCCCTATTCCTCCTTAAGATCCTTTGCCCCCTTTCCCCGTTGAGATCCTTTCCCCCCTTCCCTTTAAGGCCTTTCCAGATCTTCTCCCTTTTCCTTCCCCCCTTTCCCTGTTGAGATCCTTCCCACCCTTTCCCTGAGAGCTTCTCCCTTTTCCTTCCTTAGATCTTTCCCCCCTTTCCCTGTTGGCTTTTCGTCCCCCAGATCTTCTCCCTTTCCTCCCTAAGATCTTTTCCACCCCTTTCCCTGTTGAGATCATTTCTCCCCTTTTTTCCCTAAGGCCTTTGTCCCGAGATCTTCCCCCTTTCCTCCCTAAGATCTTTCCCCCCCCCCCCCTTTCCCTGCTGAGATCCTTTTCCCCCTTTCCCCCCTAAGGCCTTTCCCACCCCCTGAGAGCTTCTCCCTTTTCCTTCCTAAGATCTTTTCCCCCCTTTCCCTGTTGACCTTTTTTCCCCCAGATCTTCTCCCTTTCCTCCCTAAGATCTTTTCCACCCCTTTCCCTGTTGAGATCATTTCTCCCCTTTCCCCCCTAAGGCCTTTGCCCCCAGATCTTCTCCCTTTCCTCCCTAAGATCTTTTCCGCCCCTTTCCCTGCTCAGATCCTTTCCCCCCTTTCCCCCCTAAGGCCTTTCCCCCCCTGAGATCTTCTCCCTTTTCCTTCCTAAGATCTTTTCCCCCCTTTCCCTGTTGACCTTTTTTCCCCCAGATCTTCTCCCTTTCCTCCCTAAGATCTTCTCCCCTTTCCCCCCTAAGTCCTTTTCTCCCAGATCTTCTCCGTTTCCTCCCTAAGATCTTCCCCCACCCCTTTCCTCCCTAAGATCTTTCCCACCCTTTCCCTGTTGAGATCCTTTCCCCCCTTTCCCTCCCAAGGCCTTTCCCCCGCCTGAGAGCTTCTCCCTTTTCCTTCCTAAGATCTTTTCCCTCCTTTCCCTGTTGGGCTTTCCCCCCTAAGTCCTTTTCTCCCAGATCTTCTCCCTTTCCTCCCTAAGATCTTCCCCCCCCCCCCTTTCCTTCCTAAGATTGTTTCCCTTCTTTCCCTGTTGAGATCCTTCCCACCCTTTTCCCCCTCAGGCCTTTCCCCCCCTGAGAGCTTCTCCCTTTTCCTTCCTTAGATCTTTCCCACCTTTCCCTGTTGGCCTCTTTTCCCCCAGATCTTCCCCCTTGCCTCCCTAAGATCTTTTCCACCCCTTTCCCTGTTGAGATCATTTCTCCCCTTTCCCCCCTAAGGCCTTTGCCCCCAGATCTTCCCCCTTTCCTCCCTAAGATCTTTCCCCCCCTTTCCCTGCTCAGATCCTTTCCCCCCTTTCCCCCCTAAGGCCTTTCCCCCCCTGAGATCTTCTCCCTTTTCCTGCCCTAAGATCGTTTGCCACCTTTCCCTGTTGAGATCCATTCCCCCTTTCCCCCCTGAGGCCCTTTCTCCCTCTGAGTTTTTCCCTTTTCCTCCCTGCGATGTTTTCCCCCCTCTCCCTGTTGAGATCCTTTCCCTCCTTTCCCCCCTAAGGCCTTTTTTCCCCCCGCGATCTTCCCCCTTTTCCTTCCTAAGATCTTTTCCCCCCTTTCCTTGTTGAGATCCTTTCCCGCCCTTTCCCCCCTAAGGCGTTTTCCTCCCCAAGATCTTCTCCCTTTTCCTCCCTAAGATCCTTTGCCCCCTTTCCCTGTTGAGGTCCTTTCCCCTCTTTCCCCCCTAAGGCCTTCCCCCCCCCCTGAGATCTTCTCCCTTGTCCTCCCCAAGATCTTTTCCCTTGGTTGAGATCCTTTCCCAAGATCTTCTCCCTTTTCCTCCCTAGGATCCTCTCCCACCTTTCCCTGTTGAGCTCCTTTCCCCCTTTTCCCCCTAAGGCCTTTTCAGATCTTCTCCCTTTTCCTCCCTAAGATCCTTTGCCCCCTTTCCCTGTTGAGATCCTTTCCCCCTTTCCCCCCTAAGGCCTTTTCCCTGCCTGGGATCTTTTCCCTTTCCTCACTGAGATCTTTCCCCCCCTTTCCCTGTTGAGATCCTTTCCCTCCTTTCCTTCCTAAGGCCTTTCCCCCCGCTGAGATCTTCTCCCTATTCCTCCTTAAGATCCTTTGCCCCCTTGAGATCCTTTCCCCCCTTCCCTTTAAGGTCTTTCCAGATCTTCTCCCTTTTCCTTCCTAAGATTGTTCCCCCCTTTCCCTGTTGAGATCCTTCCCACCCTTTCCCGCCTAAGGCCTTTCCCCCCCTGAGAGCTTCTCCCTTTTCCTTCCTTAGATCTTTCCCACCCTTTCCCTGTTGAGATCCTTTCCCCCCCATCTTTTAGTTAGTGGTGGCCTCTCCCGTCCGCATTTTGCCATCCGGTCCTAGGGTCCCCCCCACACTTTTGGGCACATTCTGAATACACCCACTAAAACAGCCCATTTTCAACATTCAAATTCAATCACCCAACCAATCCAACACCAAAAAACACATATTCACACACCCCTCTTCATTTCTTACCCCATCTCAACATCACCCTTACACTCATTCAATAACAACAATCATAACTACATACCACCTCAACAAATCCCACCAACAAAATCCAAGCTACATACCAACATTTTTTCATTCCCAAGATCGCAACCCCAAGATCTCAATAATTTCTCCCTTGATCCAACTTGAGACCCTTTCCCAGTTCCAACAAATACGAACAGTCTAGAAAAGAACCCTATGTTCGCCCCGAAAAATGGTTAACCAATGGAAAAGGGAGAATTAAAACCGTTAACCCAAATCTTGAAAACAATCCCAGTAAAATATGGATGGCAAAATGCGGATCGGGAAAGGCCTATGTAGGAAAGCACCCCCACGGCTTATACGGGAAAATTAAACTAAAATTACAACATATAAGATCTTATATGTTGTAACTATAGTATAATCAAGAACTGAAACATTCATTTCAATAATAGCTAGCCGCGCTTTCATTATCACTAAATTCTTCATCCTCGTCATAGAAGTCTTCCGTGCTTAATATATGATAAAATCGGATATGCCATTCTGCCTCTGTTCTGAATGGCATCATTTCCAACAGTGCTCTCATTGCATCGTAATAACCCATTCTCAAGTGTTTTCTTTTGTCATCAATACTATCAATGAACCAGAGCTGTTTAAATTTATTTTCAATATCATATATGTAGGAATAATTATAGAACGCTTTCAATTCTAAATATATTTCATAATCAGATTTGGTATCATCCAATGCTTCCGTTAAAGTCATTGCCCAGAATGGGTTTCTTTTTGCTCTTTCCCAAGTTGGAAAATGGTTTTTAAGAATATCATTAAACCTGTAAGGACATATATCATAACAGTGATATGACATAATTTTCAATCTAATTTCCAATGGTAGATTATTAATGTCGCACATACTTTACTTAATGTATTAAGGTAATATTTCTTTAAGCACTTTTTCAGGGAAACTTTTAAATCAAGCGAATTATAATTACAACATATAAGATCTTACATGT